CATATCGCCTCAGTATGTAAGAGTGATGAGAGTAAGACAACATCAAGCCAACATGTTGGAAATATTCATAATGTATGTAATGAGGAGGGGGAAGAGATTGATGAGTTAGGCATATTTTCTGTAGAGACGGTCATGTGTGAGCATAAGTCCAAGTACAAAGTGAATATGTCCCTGAATGGATGTATGTGCGAATTGGAGGTCGATACAGCAGCTGACCGTTCTATTATGAGTAAAAGTACTTATATGCAGAATTTTAGTAGATTTTCCCTTTTACCCTCGAGCGCAAAACTGAGAACGTATACTGGTGAAACACTGAGTGTGTGTGGGGAAATGGTGTGTGATGTAATGTACAAAGATCAGAGATACTCACTTCCCATACTAGTGGCAAATTATGAAGGGAAACCCACCCTGTTAGGGAGGGACTGGCTTAGTGTTGTGAAGTTTAAGTGGGAAGAAATATTTCATATCCAGTCATCAAGAACCTCTGTACCAGCAGAGCAGTTTGACATCTTACTTTCCAAACATAAGGTTTTGTTTGATGAGAGTTATGAAGGCCTTCAGGGTTTTGAAGCTCATATAACAATGAAAGATGGTGCCAAACCTATATTTTGTAAGCCAAGAAAGGTCGGTTATCCTCTAAAACAAGCTGTTGAAAATGAACTGGAGAAGCTAGAAAAACATGGAGTTATAAAAAAATTGAAAGGTCAGACTGGGCTAGTCCCATAGTGGTTGTACCTAAAGCAGACAAATCTGTAAGAAATTGTGGGGACTATAAAGTCACGATCAACCAGTCTGTTGAGGATGAAGAATACCCTCTACCAACCACACAGGATTTGTACACTGCCCTTAGTGGTTCTAAGGTTTTCAGTAAGTTAGATTTGTCACATGCTTATGCTCAACTTAGTGTAGATAAACAGAGTCAAGAATACTTGACCATAAATACTCACAAAGGACTTTACTCATATACTAAGCTTCCTTATGGAGTAAAGTCTGCCCCGAAAATCTTTCAGAAAAAAATGGATCAAATCTTGCAAGGAATAGAAAAATGTGTATGTAAGCAAGATGACATACTTATCGGTGGGACAGATCCACAAGAAAACCTAAAAATTCTTTCTGAGGTGCTCGATAGGCTTCATAAGTACAATGTTCACTTAAAAAGGTCCAAATGTGAGTTTTTGAAATCTGAAGTARTTTATTTAGGCTTAAAAATAAGTGCAGCTGGCTTGCAGCCTGTTGAGGAAAAAGTTGAGGCAGTGAAGAAGGCACCAGTTCCAAAGGATGTCAGCGAGTTAAGGTCATTTCTAGGAATGATTCAGTATTACCACTCTTTTCTCCCGAGTTTAGCTAGCACATTAGCACCCCTTCATGAGCTGTTAAAGAAAGATGTTCCKTGGGTGTGGACTGACAAGTGTCAAAAGGCTTACGATGCATGTAAGCAAGGTTTGACAAGTGATTCCCTGCTTGTCCATTATGAGCTTACCAGGGAGTTGCGTTTGGMATGTGATGCTTCTAGTTATGGTCTTGGGGCAGTTATAAGTCATGTTATGGATGATGGGAGMGAAAGACCCATTGCATATGCCTCCAGAACCTTGTCTTCTAGTGAGAAAAACWATGCTCAAATAGAACGAGAGGCATTACCAATTATATTTGGGGTCACAAAATTCCATCAGTACTTATATGGCCGCAAATTCACTTTAGTCACTGACCATAAACCACTGCTGTCAATTTTGGGCCCCAAATCGGCCATACCTACCTTGGCTGCTGCCAGGACGCAGAGATGGGCATTGGTCCTCTCAGCATATGATTATGAAATCATATTCAAACGATCTGAAGATCATGCTAATTGTGATGCTCTATCTCGACTGCCTTACCAAGACTCAACTTTAGGTAGTGAAAGCGCGATCTATAATGTCAGTRCAATTRAGGATGAATTYCCCAYTGAGGCGAAAGACATTGCCAAAGCAACTCAATGTGATACAGTGTTGAGAAAGGTTTTTCACTTTGTTATGACTGGTTGGCCAAAGAAATGTGAAGATGAGGAAATCAAACCATATTATAATCGGAGACTTGAGTTGTCTTGTGAGCAACATTGTGTTCTGTGGGGATCAAGAGTGATCATTCCTTTGGTTTTAAGGAAAATGTTGAGAGAGTTGCATTGGGAACATCCTGGAATTTGTGGGATGAAGGCAATTGCCCGCACTTGTGTGTGGTGGCCTAAAATGGATGAAGAAATAGAGGAGACAGTAAARTGCTGCACTGTATGTCAGAAYGTTAKAAGTGCTCCACCATGCGCACCATTAATCCCATGGAAATGGCCGACTAGACCATTTCATAGAGTTCACATTGATTTCTGTCAAAAGGATAATGATTATCTTTTTGTGTTAGTGGACAGTCACTCAAAGTGGATAGAGGTGAAACATATGACCTCTACTAAAGTAGAGAAAACCATAGATGAGTTACGTTTAATTTTTGCCACTCATGGTTTGCCTGAGGAAGTAGTTTCAGACAATGGCCCTCAGTTTGTGTCTTATGA